AAGTGTCCATGATCACAGGGGCTGCCAAAGCAGCTCAAGTGGTAGAATGCCTGCCTAGCAAATGTGAAGCCTTGCATTCAATCCCCACTACTGCCGAAACCAAAACAAAATAAAAAGTCAGAGATTTTCAGATTAAAAAACAGACTCCACTGTATGTTGCGTAAAAAAATGACTTGCCATGTTTTTACAAGTATTGATCAAAAATAAAAGAATCAAAAAATCTCACCATGCTGGTACAAATCAAAGAAAGGTAGGGAAGCTCTACTAATTTCATGAGAGATTTCAAACAAAGCAAAATTGTAAGATATAGAGAGGGGTATCATATAAGAGGAAACTGGCCAATTATACAAGTAGTTGAAAGAACTCCTAATATTGCAGTGCCAAATGACAGAGCCTGAGGCAAACATGAAGCAAAAACTAGTAGAAATGCAAGAAGAAATAGATGAAATTAGTTTTTGTCCTGTTTGACTCTAGCACTGCTTTTTTTCTTTCTTATTTGTCTTAGAGGTTTTGAGGTTTACTAAGTTGTTAGTCTTTGATTCCTTCCTATTTTTCACTTGCTTATCTACAGTGAGATTTATTCTCTCCCACACTCTCATGGTTGTGACTATCTGTCTTCCTCTTCTCTGTAAGATTCCTTTAAGAATCCTTTGCAATGGTGACTTGGTGGTCATAAATTACTTTAGTTTGTGCTTCTCTTGGTATTTATTTCTCTGTCAGTTTTAAAGAATAACTTTGCTGGATATAGTAATCACAGTAATCACCCAGAGTGCTTGAAATATATCATTCCATGCTTTCATGACTTAGTTTTTTAGCCAATAGGTCTAATGTAGTGTTGGTAAGTTTGCCTTTGGGAGTCACTTGGCACTTCTTACAGTTTTCAATAGTCTTCCTTTGTTCTGTCAGGGTCTCAGTGGGCACCATGTCATATTGACTGGGGAGGTAGCAGCCATATGAGAGATTCTCGATTTGGGGATTGACCACATTGCCAGTGTGCAGACTAAAAACCTTCAGAGAAAATATACTTTTGACAGCTAGCATTTCACCTTCATTGGTTCAGCAAGTCACCTGGCACAGCCTGCATTTTGCATGAACTCACTTGGTGAAAGCTGAGAGAAAACTCAATAAGCTACAGTCATGAGCCACTACTCCTCCCATACAGGGCACCTGGGACACTCAGAGATTAGACTGTCATATTCCATAGCATCCACCCCTGATTGCTTTTCCAAGTTAGGACGAGTTTCACTCAGTTTTCTCTTTCAATCTATTTTATCACTTATTGTTTGGGTTTTTTCTTTTGAGTTACCTTTACAATTTTATTTTTTATCTCTCATTTTTCCTTATGGTTTTATTCCTTTGTTCTCCTTTTCATTGTTTTTTCCATTGCTAGGAACTGAGACCAAGCCCACATATTCCAGAGTCGGGTATTCTCCCTCTGAGCTATCCCCACAACTCAGTTGAGAAGAATTAAGTCCACCTCTGTCCACAACCCATTCCTACTCAAACTCTAGCAGATTTTCTTCCTTAAAGAACTGGGATGATAAAAGATCCAGACTTAGGAAGAGGCTAAAGTCCCACTAGCCCACAGTATCTGCAGAAAGAAAGAAAAACAGTAGTAGCTAACACCATATCTACACTTGTGCTGTAGATTGCAGCCACACCTGGTCAGATTGCTTACAGCTAAAAAAGAATGAAAGTGAGCACCACAGATGGGAAGATTTCAGGGCCTTCCAGAAAATTAGCAAAAATACTAGGTAAGAAAGATACAAGTTAACTTGCACCTGGTACCAAATGGACCTAACAAATACCCACATTATTACATTCAAGAGCTGTTAAATACACATTTTACCTAATAGCACATAGAACATTCTCTAGGATAGATTATGAGTGCTCATAAGCCTAGTCTTAACAATTTTTTAGAAACGGAATTCATGGGAAGTTTGTTTTCTGACCATAATGAATCAAGTTAGAAATCAAACACAAAAACTTTAAACACCATACAAATAGATGGAAAATAAGCAGCTTAATTTTGAACAACAAAGGAATTAAATAGGAAATAAGAAAAAATAAGTTCTTCTTGATAAAACAAAAATGGAGACACTAAATATCAAAACCTATGTGATGTAGCAAAAGCACTACTAAGGAAGTCCATAGCAGTCAATGTCCAAATCAAAAAAGTACACCATAAAAAAATATTTAAAAACATGAAGGAACAGATTACCACTGCATCTCAAGATACAAGTGAAACAAGAGCGGTCTTCATCCAAAAGTAACAGAAATTAAGATCAGAGCAGGAAAAATGCAATGGAGACAAAAATATAAAAGATCATTGGAATAAAGTTCTGGTTCCTCACGAAAGGAAAATGAAGGACACGAACCTATGCTAAACGAATTAAAACACAACAAGAGAGATAACTCAAACAACATCTGAGGTAAAAAGAAGACATTCCAACAACATCATAGGAAAACACATGGACAATGCTCATCACATGCAGATTCACAGCAGTGCCACAACCAAAGAAAGATGTATTTCTTTCACCCCTCCCTCGTGCATAGTGTACAAATGCCTGTCACTAACAGGTAGGGCAAGAAAACCTTTGAGTTACTCCTGTCCCTCTACAGTACAGGCTGATGTGACACTGAGCAGTGTAAATAGACTTATTGTTGCCCCATCCTCGAGGTACTGCCAGAAGAATTCCAACAGAAAGTTTGCCTGGCCACAGATTCATACTTCAACTTGCACCCACAGGCCACTCAGCTGAAGAGGTCTAGGAGAAAAGCCCTGGGTATCACATGAGCAAAGAAGGTCCCAAGAATTTATTTGCCCAGCTCAAACCATATCCAGTTCCCATTTGTTCTGTAATGGACACAACAGTTGACTCAGGCAGAAAGGAACCCCAGGCTTTTGCCCTATTCCAGGTATGAATGATTGTGGGGTTAAAGTATCATTTCTGAGAAAAAAAAATAACCCTAAGTACTAACAGCATTTGGTGTCACCACATCTATGTGACTCTTACTGCCAGGTGACCCCCTATGTTATCTGAACATGCACTGCTGTCCTGACTGGTCTGAGTGTCAGATAGGTGGTGATGAAGTATGTAGGCCCATACCACTGTCTGGAAGACAGTTGTATCAGGTCTGCGCTACTGTTACAGACAGAGCCAGAGACTCTGACAAATAACACAGCTTATGCTAACAATGCCTAAAACCATTTAGAACATAATCAAAGCCATGAAAGCAGAAAATCTCCACACAATGTTTTCAAAACAACTCCTTCAAGTAGAGTACATAGAGCTGTGACTTATTCCTGCTTTAATGTTAAATTGCAATTTTAGACTTTCCAGGATGAAGTGGTAAAATGGAATTTCAACCAAAAGCAAGAAAATTGTTTCACAACAAAGATCCACAAATTGCAACCACAGTTGTCTTTTCAAAGAATCTTTAGACAAACCGTATCGCTAGAAGAAAAGCGTTAGAGCAGTTTTACACTCATGAAGCACAATTCTAAGCTTTAGGCAAAGTAGGGCAAAAGGATATACCCTGTAAATTCAGCAATTTCCCTTAATGTATTACTCTGAAATGTGAGTTTTGATTACTCATCAACACTGACGGTAAGTCAGCTCGTTAAATCTGCTTACTTAAGTGTTAAAAGCAGTCCTTACTCTCAAGACACATCCCACCTATGTCAGTGTTCAGAACTCCACAGAGTAAGAACTTCAAACTACACCGTGTACTTATATTTCTTATTTTACTTATTTCAGGAAATAAATAACCCGGCCTCGTATCTTCAATCTATGGTGTTGGTGTGTTTGTGATGTATGGCAAAATGGGACACAGTCAAATGCAGGTTTATTCATCTTCATAGTTGTTACCTTTGTGTTACAAAGCCATGTGAAGTTGTATTCCCTTATTTTCAGTTGTGAAAATAATTGGGAGAATGTTTTACAAACTGATCAATGACTCTGTTTCCTTAAAGACGTAGACGATTGAACTGTGTGCCAGACCTCACTTTATTAGAGTTAACAAATTTATAAAATAAGCAAATCTTAAAAACAGAGACTATGATACAAATTGCTAGTCAGATGTGCCAGTATGTGTATCATATCAGTACGTGTAACAACATGCCAGTAACACAAAGTAAGAAGACCAGATGCTCAACGTGACACTTTATTATAGTTTTATTTCCGTGAGTCTTGCATCAGGAAAACAGAGACCTCTTTTATTATGAGATTGGCTCTTCACTTGTACAATGCAATTTAATTAGAGTAAAATGACATTTTTACCTAACCTATTTTGTAAAAGTAAAAGTAAATGTTTTATGTACCACTACAACCTGTCTTGTTTCAAAACTTTTCTATGTAAATACAACAGCGTAGTTATTTTCACTTTCTTTTTCCCTTAAAACCTCAAGATAACTGGTTATCACTTAGTATTCAATTTCTCCAGCTGCTAATGTTACAAACCCCAAATTGCTACCCATGCTTTTAAATTTACATTTTGAAAATGCTTTTTTTTGGTACAGTGGCAATGTAAATGACAAACAAGAATGTATAAAATACCGAAGTTTTAAGAATACAGATGGGTACATGCATTTCAAAAACAGATCGATATTCTTCAACTCCAAATGCAGATTTATGTTGATGAATTCTAAAAATTTATAAATTAGATTTAAAAAGTCTCCAGAGAACGTCCAGATAATTAGAACATAACGGTTCTGAAAGCGGCTAAAATCCATTCTGGTCACAAGGGAAACAACTGAGTGGTGGCATTCATTTACTAGAAATGAAGTATTGGTTTATCAGTGCACATGGTAGCATTACATCTACGTTTTCACATGTCAGTTAACGCAACATCTTCAGTCTTCAAAGAAATATAACAAATACTTTTTAAAATGCAAACAAACCAATCTGCTTTCCTTGGCAAGCTAAATGAAGTCTTACTCTTAACAGCTGACGACCAAGATCCCGAATGTAGAACGACCCTGAGAATACTTGGGATATAACACATTGGGTTCAGCTTAGATCTGGAAGCAAGAAGAACAGGAGATGGATGAAAATAATCATTACAACATTCTACGCAATGTAAGATGCCCTTAAATTTCTATGAACATTCTGTATATCAAATTTTCCTCTATTCCTCTCTGTTGCCAGAATATCTTTCTCGCTTTCAGAATGTTATATGTTATGCATAATATCCTTATACGTGTTACACACTATCCATAATATCCACAATACAACTTAGCATCTCCTTCCTGCTCTGTTTCTAGAGATCTGCTTGTGTTGAGGCTGATCATACACACTAAGGAATATATATAATTCTTTCCGAATAGAAGTATCGCTAAACCAAATTCTCTAATTTGAGTCAATCTGGTCACAGGAGCAACACTAAATCTACCCTAACTTAATTTTAATTTAGTGTAATTTAAATTTTTGCAGATGTTCAAAGCTGTAAAAAGAGAGCTGCTCTAGAAGTAGTAGAGTCCTCAGGTCTTAAACAAAAGCAGCCTTTATGAAATAGTCAAAATACCAAATTTCCTTGATAGTCCCACTTCTTTCCAATCCCTTCCCCTCTCAGCCCACTCAAAGTGTTCCAGAAGAAATAGTTGCATAGATTATATTTTCTGGAAAACATGGTTAGTGTGCCTACACTCTCATCTAGTCTATCTAATCTGTGCACACAGCTTTGTATTAACACATACAGTCTGGACAGGATCTTTAATTATCTAAAACTAAGGTCAGCTGACAAAATGTTCAGATCTGCCCTTAAACCACAACCCAATAGTGACATGATACGTCAGTCTCTTATCTCAGGAAAGTATCATTAATATTGTTTTGTCATAAGACTCCTTTGGCTTAGGGTCCCGAAAGAGAAGTGTACAAAGAAATTAGAAGAACATGTTCACTACTCATCATTCTTCCTTTTTACACTTAGATAGCTTTAAGACTTATGTAACACTGGAGTGATGTATGTTTTAAAACTTGTATATACAATTTATAAACACACACACACACAATAGTGGTACAGAATAGGGGTAGAGGGTATGCTATTTTACAGTGTAAGTAATGTAAGTGGTTTGGAATAATGTAAAAATAGAAAATAGGATGGTATGATAAACCACGTATAAACAAATGCAAGTTGTAAAATTAGCTGATGTTTACTTGAATTGAAAATTTTCAACTTCTTTGAATAGCTTGAAGATGCTCTTACAAAGACATTAGGGAATAAAATTTTAGAGATCACTGTTTTTGATCAAGGATTCTCCATGAGGTGTGAACATCAGGGTCACCTGAGACCCAACTGACTTCCCCAAATTGGCCCTGTGCATTTTTGACAAGCTCTGGTAATTATGCCACATGCAATCTTTTTTGAAAAGTTACTCTACGTATTCTAAAATTTCAACTTAGTGTCTAATCAAACACTCATTATTTTGGCTTTATACATTTTCATTACTGGGGAATTAAAAGAAGAACCTCACTGAACTGTAAGCTATACTGCCATCCCAGTTACACACACACATTCACAGTATAAGTAATGTAAATGGTTTGGAATGGGATAGTGTGTATGTGTGTGTGTGTGTGTGTGTGTGTGTGTGTGTGTGAATGGATAGGTATACATACGTTTAAGAAAATAAATATTTTTGACTTAAATATACTGCAGATACAACAATGAAGGGCTAAGGATAAAGGTGAGTGGCAGAGGGCTTGCTAAGCATTACTTATACATGTTTATGTTTACAAACATAAACATGAATATAAACACATAAGCAATTGTCATAATAAATGTGTATCAAGGAATTTCATTTAAATGTAGAACAGCAAAAGAACACTAAAAAACATAGTACTCTTGTGAGCTCACTACTTTATGCTAGGAAGAACAGCCGTTTTTCACAAATTAATCACACAGCAACTCCAAGTGAGGTTTAGGGCAACAGTGATACCTGATAAAATAACAGGATCCTGACAACATGCCTCCGTTGAAAGAAGGTTGTCAAAGGATGCTGCAATTTCAACGCTGTATCAAATAAGTCTTTTTAACACAAATATTTTGTTTCAGAAAAGGCATGAGCTCAAAACTGCTAAAATTCTTGGAAGACACTATGCTGACCCCTCTACCAGCAACGCACACACACAAAAGAAATTGTCAACGACTACCTCTTTACGTACTCTTCCTTAAAACAGCTAGGATTATGGCACGGCTTCTGCCAAAACTAATCCTGATTTTGAGAGAAAGAAATATCCCAAGGGATTATAAATCAGAGAATAAACAGCTTGTTTCTGGCTAGTTCCAAATATTCAAGTACTGAATATTCAAGCTCAGAAACATATCCTAAATTTATGTATTCAGCATAATGAAGCCAAAGGAAAATATCAGGGTAAGAAGGGGACTTTCTCCCAGATAAGACATATAATCCATAAAGAACATACACAAAACATCTGTAAGGGTCATAATACTTACATCATCAATGTCTTCATCATCATCTCCGACATCATCAAACTGGATTTCATCATCCTCTCTGGGACCAAATGTGTCCGTTTCATTGACTTTAGCTAAACATACAATAACAAAAATGCCCACTGAATAATCAAAATATTATTAAGTATTATTAAGAAAAGAAATGGGTCTGACATAAAACAATACACATTGATCTCAGAGATCAAATTAATAAAAGTCCCCCAGATGATCATTCATTTAAAAATTGTTACAAAAACAAGAGCCATGTGTTCTTTTGTTCAAAAGAGTATTTTAGTAAAGCCGACAGACTCTGATTAGACTCACTGAAAACCTTCAAAATATCCTTCAGAAAGGATTTGAGAAAGGCCTAGAAATATCCTCATAGTATGCGAGTTCTCACCAGTCAGAGAGACTTAGTCAAATACCTGTAAGACATAAAAGCAAAAAGAGCTGCTAGTTTTAAAAAGGCCAATAATTTCATGAGGATCATCATTGTTAGGAAGAATCTTACTATTTTTATGATAAAATGCACTGGAATTAAAAATAAACTAGCTGCCCTGTAAAGAAAACATTGAGGCTTACAAATTCATGCATGGTCTTAGTTTAGTCTTTCCAAGTTTTCAAGTGACAATGCTTTATGTTGGCCTTTCAGAAAGAAAATAAGTATTTTTGTTTTATATACCCTGTAGGTACAATCATGAATCATGAAGGGCTTGGGAATGTAACATGAGGATCCTGATGAAATTATTGGCAGTTTAAGTGTAGCAGCTCTGTTTTGGTTTTATTTCTTATGCGTAAGCATGAATTGAGTAAATCTTTCTGACTGATAAGATGTAGCTCAGTGGTTGAGTACTACATTATGTGAAGGCCCTGGGTTCTAATCCCAGCACTGCAATACAAAACCACACAACTCCTAACCATGCCAACACATAAGAGAACATTGTTCTCTATAAAAATCAAAACAAGTATCCTAATTGGTGATGCTTACATGAAAACTGCCAGTCTCTTGAGAATGGTGCAGCACACCAGCAACCCAAGCTACTCAGGAGACTGAGGCAGGGGGATCTCATCTGGGTACATAGTGAAACCCCCTATTAAAAGAAGTAACAAAATAAAGTTGCCAGCTACTTAAGAAGGTAGAGTAAGGAGGATCATATTTTGAGACCAGCCTGATCAAAAAAGTTAGCAAGACCCTATTTCAAAACAATAAACTGGGTGTGGTAGATGATTCCTATAATCCTAATTGTGAAATTAGGACGGTAGTCAGAAGCCAGCCTGAGGAAACCACAGACCCTATTTGAAAAGCAAGTGAAAGCAACTGACCTGGAGGTGTGACTTAAGAGGTAGTACACTTGACTAGTGACCCGAAGACCCTGAGTTCAAATCTACTATCAGGGGTCAGGCACAGTGGCTCACAGCTATAATCCCAGCTACTGGGAGGATTATGGTTCAATGCCAGCCCAGGCAAAAAGAAAATTGTTCAGATCACACCTCTGCAAATGAGCCAGGTCTGTGGCCCTCACTGCGTGGAAACCCATAGGTAGGAGATCACAGTCTGGGCTCATCTTGGACTAAGATATGAGACTGTATTTTTAAAAAATACCTTCAGTTCTGGAGGCATGGATCAAGTGCCTGCCTAGCATCACAGAAGTCTTGGGTTCAAAACTCAGTATTTAAAAAGGCAGGGGCAAGAGGAAGGGCATGAAGAAAAGAGAACAAAGGAGAGGGAGAAGGGGAAGGGAAAGAAAAGGAGGGAAGGAGAATGGGGAGAAAAGAAGAAGGAAGAGAAAAGAAGCCAGAGGAGGAGAAAGAAGAAAAAAAGAAAGAAGTGAAGCAAAGGAGGAAAAAAGAAGGGAGGAGAAGAAGAGAGGAAGAGGGGGAGAACAGGGAGGAGGAGAAAGAAGGAAAACAAGATAAAGGAGGAGTTGAAGTAGAAGGAGGAGGAGGAGAAGGAGAAAGTGGAGATGAGGAGGAGGAGGAGGAGAAGTAGATGGAGGAGGAGCAGTAGGAGGAGGAGGAGGAGAAGGCAGGTACGAGGACTAGGAGAAGACAGAGATGATGAGGAGGAGAAGTAGAAGGTGGAGGAGAAGGAGAAGGCAGGGATGATGAGGAAGAGAATTAGAAGGAGGAGGAGAAGTAGGAGGAGGAGGAGAAGGCAGGGATGAGGAGGAGGAGGAGAAGTGAAGGAGGAGGAGGAGGAGAAGGTGGGGATGAGGAAGAGAAGGAGGAGGAGGAGGAAGAGAAGGGATGAGAAGAGGAGGAGGAGAAGCAGGAGGAGCAGGAGAAGGAGGAGAACCCTAGTACCAAAAAAGGAGGAGAGAGTAAGAAAAAGTTTCCTAAATGGCATTCTTGGATGCTCTATATTCAAAGCTTATAAACTCACCAACTGCTCACCAAAAGAACATTTTTTAGTGATTCCTACTTAACTTTCTAAAATGCTACCATACTTAAAATTTTGTAACACACAACAGACCCAATTCTACCAAAATCCCTCATGTTATCCCTAAGGAACCATAACAGCACATGACAGCATTTGGTAACACTATAGACATTACCATGTTCTGGAAGCTCTCCGTATGCCTTCTGGCTTCTAGCTTCATTTGCATTACACTTCAAAATTACATCAGCTTTTTTATCCTTAGAAATAATTAATGTTTTAAACTGGTGAGAACAAAGTATCATTTGTTTCCTAATTCTTTTCAAGTTACACACACTAAGGAAAAACTCACTCCGTGTTTACTTACAAACTTGTGCGTCTTTCACAAACAAACAAATGCCAGGTACAAGTGGCTCATGCCTGTAACCCTACCCACTGGGGAGGCAGAGATCACAAGGATCGCAGTTTGAAGCCAGTGCTGGCAAAATAGTTCAGGAGACCCTACCTTAAAAAATCCCATCACAAAAAAGGGCTGGCGGAGTGGTTCAAGGTGTAGGCCAAGAGTTCACACCCCAGTACCACAACAAACAAACAAACACAAACAACCTTTGGGTGTAAATTAACAAAAAGAAGGGTAGGGTGCATATAACTAATAGCAATTCATAAAAGGACCTTTTACAGATTTAATCTTCATAAAAGCAGAACAGACAACCTTCCCCTTCATCTTACTTAGTAATACTTTTGATTAGAAGTCTCTTGAAGCACAAAAACTGCAATGTGAACTTTGTAAGTGAAACACAATTGAAAACTGAAAAAGAGTATAATGGGTTCTAGAAAAACATATCAGTGTGAAGTTGGGCCTGAGCTGAGTGGCTTTTGCTTCCCTCATTATTCTGTTCAGTTGATGCTTGTGTAACTATTTTCTCCCTGCATCCTGTTTCCTATCTTAATGACTTTGTATAGAATTAGTTAAAATGTTTCAGCCCTTTCCCTGGGTACTGGCCATTCCTAGATTGTAGGAAAGGTCACAATCAGAAGAGCTCTCAGGAAAATGTGAAGCAGAGACTTACTGTGACAAAATCCAGACACCTGGACCTCTAAACAACAAGCTTTCTGCACAATTGCTGCTTTCTTACCTTCACAGGTCTGGGATGCTCTGCAACCTGCAGACTAAGCTAAAACGCTCTCGCCCACATCGTAAAACCTCTCATTACTAAAGATTAAAATGCTACTCTGGCACCAGGTGACTGAGACTGAGAACATTCCCAGAAACGATGTTATACACATCTTCTCTTGGCAGCATCACGTAAGATGGCCTACCATGGGTAATTCTGCTGTCACCAGAGAACCAAGAGACAGAGTGACAAGATAATACAAAGTGCTAATGCTTCCATGTTAGCAGCTGCACAGCCAGACTTTTCATGTTTGCAACTGGTTCTTAGGATTTATTGCCAATCAGAATGATCTGTGCAGTTTCAAAATACTTAACTCCTTTCTAAGACTGAGAGTAGATGTGGGGCATACCCTCAGAAACTGAATTTTGAAAAGCTCTTTCCAATGGGTGGTTTTGGTGCAAACATCCCTGAGAAGCACAGACTTAAAATGCTCAACTTTTAAAGAACCTGACTCAGCTAGACTGGTGATTGGGCAGAAGTTCCTGTTGATGCCTTACAATTAATTGCAAAGAAATCCAAAGAGAGGCAAGTAAAATAATCATGGTGATTCACTGACCATATGAAGTGAACCAGTATTTCCAAAATTGTATGTGCAGACAAATACACAAAGATTTTATTAAAACGCACATGGGATTCAAATTTGAATGAAAAATATGTAGTTTCAAAGAAAACCTGTAACTTTCTACTTTGGAAGTTTTTATAAAAGAAAATTACTATATGATTGAGTCTATTACAACAGAGGCACAGAACAGTCATAGTGGAGGAGAATCCAATGGTTAACCAGACTCCACTTTGTCTCTCACACAGTGTCCTTTTCTGAGTTGCTCTTTCCCCCTCAGATTATTTTAATTCTGGCATTGTGGATCTGACCAAAGTCCGTCCTGTGAAGCAAAGGGAGGTTGCCACCAGAGCAGCAGCACTTCGTGTCATGAATCAGGGATGATGATTATTCAGATTATGCTCCCACCAGGAGCACTAGCTGTGCAAACACCCAAGTCTTGCCTTTGTTCTTTCCCTGCTATATGACCTCAAGGCTGTTCCTAACTCCCCTTAGACCTGTCTTCCCAGAACAAGCACACTGAAGCTTTCCCATTATATCATCAACTTCTCCAGTCTGTTTTTCTTTAGCCACCAGTTAGCTGGGCCTCACAGAGAAGGGCTATTGCTCCAAGAGAGGGGCTTGTGACAGACACCAAGACTCACTGAAATTCTCTAACGAGTTGAGAATACTGCCAAAGTCTGTCACTATCCATTCTGTCAGAAGTCTGAAAATAACCGAATGCACGTGATAATCTGAAGAGTGCTTATTGGAGAAAAATGGAGACTGTCAGAAGACCAAGCTCTCTAGTATTTTAACCTGCCCTGTCCTAAGACTCTATTCCTATGCCTCTCATATCTGTTCCATGTAGCCATGAAAATCAGCAACGCAGCAGCCACTGGAAGATGTAGAACAAGTTCTGACCTCTGTCAAAACACCACTCTCTACAGAGCTATTCCGTAGTACCCGGAAGCTCCCCCTTACAGTAAAGCTTTCCTTTATTTGAAATAATTCAAGCTTATTTACTAGCAATATTCCACCACCCTTTGTCCAGAGGATTCAGAGAAAAATAGTCTATGCAATGCCTTTAAGCAGAGGTAACATCTGGGGAAAAAAACCCAACGAAAGAAATGTAAAAGTGTTAGAAGTCGATGTCCATAGGAGATTAGAACACCCCAGCACACTTCTGTGAATCTAGAAAGCCCGAGCAGATGCTCACAAAAGAGAAGACACTAATCTCTTACCCCTGAAAGGCCTTAATCTCAGCTCTGATTGATCTTGAGACTCTGCAAAGCACGAGATGAAAACTAGGGATGAATGGTCTGTTGATTGGCTTGGTGTATCCCAACTTGTACAAAGTCACCCTCATAGACTGGGAGGCTTACCATTGTGCGTAGTTGCTGTTGTTGGGTTTTGAGACTGTCTTGCCATGTAACTAACCCGTGAACTCAGGCTCCTACACATTCCACCTCCCAGGTACCAGGATTATTGGTGGTATCAGGACACCTGGCAGGCTTCCTGCTTCTAACAAAATCTCAACCAAAAACATGAACTGTCCACTAAAGGAACCAAGCAGTTAAGGCCACAGAATTTGCTCAGAAAAGTCACTAAGCAAAAAAGCAACAGCAACCAATTTAAGACTTGCTACATTGTATTTGACATGTTCAGTTTTCAACAATAACACCACCAAAAAGTAGGAGACCTTGAGAACACAAAGTACGGCCTCCAACAAGACAAAAAAAGAGTCACCTCAAAAAATATCTTACAGAGGCCAGAAGTTGGACATTACATCAACTACTATAAATACATTTAAAGAATTAAAGGAAAACACATCTACAAATACTGATGGGATGATGACACTGATGTCTTATAGCAGGGAGGAGGACCAGAAGAGAAACAGACAGGCTGTGTTTGGTAATGAGGCAGGGGGAAGGGATGGCAAAGCAGAGAGATAAAACACTGAAACATGAAGAAGTCACATAGCCCTGGGGGAATGGAATAGCCAGTAAAGTCACCTGCAGCCAAATGTGGGCTGAGGTTTGCTTCTTGCTTCTGTAACCTGCTTGCAAGGGTATATAACGTGAGACCCCTTTGCTCTCAGGGGCTCAGCCCTTGGACGACACGAGTCCACTGGGTCTGTGCCGGCACAATTAAACCATTGCTTCCTGCTGAACTGCCTCAGTGTCCTGTATCTCAGCTTGAGATTCCCGCAACAGTCTCACTAAATGGAAAATGAAAATGAAAACACAGAACTTCTCCAAAGAAACAAATTCCAAACCAGGCATGGCTGTTCAAGTCTGTGTTCCTGGCTGCATGGGAGGTGGAGATCCGGGAGGATAGTGGTTCCAGGCCAGGGTAGGCAAAAAGTTCACACGACCCCCTCTCAACCAATGGCTAGGCACGGTAGTACGGGGCTGTGGTTCCGGCTGCACAGGGAGGCCCAGTAGGAGAACCACGGCCCAAGGTGGTCCCACGGCATAAAGTGGGACCCTATCTCAAAATTGGCCGATGCAGAAAAAAAAGAGCTGGCGGGTGGCTCAAGTAGTAGTGCTGGCCTGCCTACCAAGTTCAACCTCCAGCTAAGCCAACTGCAATTAGGATAATAATAAAAGGTAAAAAACTGAATAGCTGACTTGACAGGGCCACTGTATAATGAGAAGAAACAACTGGACAAATGATCAACAAGGAAATAAGAGGACCTGAAGTGTAGGGCAGCGAGACCTAACAGATACCTACAGAAACCTGCAAAGCACAGCAATAGACACACTGGAAACTTCACAGTATCATAACTTAAAAGGGATGAGTTTCTTCTACATGAAAATCAAATGGATTTCACAAACTCACAAAGCATATGCAGTTTCAAGCTTGAGCTTACAGAGGGCTATGTATGACCACAGCTTTTGTGCTCATCCTAAATTGACAGCATATGCTTAAAGAACAGTTTGTATTTTGACCATTTGCATGCACATCACCATGCTCCACCAGCAGGCTATCTAAAGACCATAAGGCCCAAGAGAATGGAAGAGTTGACTTATTCAGCTGCATTCCTAGAATAACAGTTTCCCAGACCATTACATTTAAAAAATGAAGACGTAAGTAATGAACTGGGTGTGGGGGGGCTCACCTACAGTGCCAGCTACACGGGAGGTTGAGGCAGGAGGATCACTTGAGTCCCGGAACCCAGGTTGATACCTGGGCAATGCAGCAAAACTCCTTTTCCCCAGTAAAAATACATTAAGGTGGTAAGTGACTGGAACTCCACAGGATTACTAAATTTTTGTTCTACCAAGGGAGAATAGGATCAAAGTACATTGTGTGCATGTAGGGAAAAGTCATAATGAAATCCACTGAAACAAACAATAAACAAACAAACTGTGAGACAGATGTTTCTGAGGGGACTGTGGGGGACCCAAAGAGTAATGGGGTGAAGTGATCAGAGTGCACTGCATGCATATATGGAAATATCACGATGAACGACCCCACACACATAGTACAACTGACATGCCCTAACAAGAAAGTGGGGGAAACAAGAAAGAAGACTCCTTTGTAAAATGAACACCACTCCCTAGGCTGTCATTCTTTTTAGGAAATGTAATTTAGAACGCTAAAGAAAATGGACATTTGCCATTTTACCATAAGAGCAGTGAAAAACGTCAGCTTGAGCCATTATTACTTCACAGACCAGTGTTGGGGAATCGCCATCTCTTAACATCCTAGAGCATCTAACACACGGCCTTCAGATGAAGAACAGAAGGATCTGTGGTTTTTATCTACACCTACCAGGGATTATTTATTGCATCGTATATTTAAAATAGTAAGAGAAAAAAGCATTTTCCCACAAGACACATATACTATTAATCAACTTGGAGAATTATTCTGAACAATAAAAGAGCCATAATCTCTGACTCAAGGGTCCATAATAATGTTAAATGGCAGAATGGTGAGAGAGCCTATGGCAGGAACTGGCCAAAGATGCCAATACTGTGATTTCAAACATTAACCACTAAGTAACAAGGACCCAGTACAAATTCAAATGAGATTTTTTTTTTTACCTGATAGTCTCGTAGACCAACCAATATAACATCTGAGGTGTTTATCCAAACCTGTAAAAGACAATTTCCTGCATATTATTTAAAAGATATATGGTACAGAACAATGTTAGATGTGTGTCCCACAAACTAGATCTCAATTTCCCACTTGGGAAAAGCATCTGTCGAGAATTAGGTTGCAAAAGGACAAGGGTGGTGCAGGCCTGTAATCCTAGCTGTAAGGAATTATTTTCTATTTTCTTATATTTGCTGAGGCTTGTTTGTGCCATAGAATATGACCTATTTTGGAGAAGGTTCACGGGCCTGCTGAGAGAATGTATTGGTGTAGAAGTTGGATGAATGTTCTGTAGACATCAAGTAGGTTCATTTGATCTATTGTATATTTTATTATCATGGATTTCTTTATTATTTTTTGTTTGGATGACCTATCTATTAATGATAATGGGGTGTTAAAGTCTCCCACAACCACTGTGTTGGAGTTAATATGCTTTTAGTCTTTCAGGGTATGTTTGATGAATTGGGTGTGTTGACTTGTGCATACAGGTTGATAATTATTATTTCCTTTTGGTCTATTTCCCCTTTTATTAGTATGAATGTCCTTCTTTATTCATTTGATCAATGCATATTTGAAGTCTACTGTGTCAGAGATATGTATTGGACTCCTGCCTGTTTTGGGGGGCCATTGGCTTTGGTAAATCTTCTTCCAGCCTTTCATCCTAAGCCATGCTTAGGATGTCGTGAGGTGGGTCTCCGTAAGCAACAAATTATTGATCTTCCTTTTTTAATCCATTTCATCAAGTGGTGCTTTTGATGGTAATTAAGTCCAAACATTAAGTTAGTACTGATAGGTATGTGGTGATTCCTGTCATTAGTTGTCTTAGTTGTTTGAATGTTGATGTGTAATACCTAGGTGAGGTTACTCTCTACTTTTTGCTTTTCTTTTCCTGTATTTGGTGCTTCCTGTCTTTCATGGTTAAGGTTTTCACTTTCTGTGTGCAGAATCCCTCGAAGAATCTTTTCTCACCCCATGCTCTTTTGCTTAATGTTTCTGTTGAAAGTCTGCTGTGATTTGATGGGTTACCTTTGTTATGTTACTTGTTTTTCTCTCTTACAGCCTTCAATATTCTTTCCTTAGTTTCTGAACTTGTTTGTTTTAATGATGATATTTGTGGGTATTCTATTTAATCTGTCGTTTGTTATCCTGAGCTCTTGCATCTGTATGGAATATCTTTCTCTAGATTTTGGAAATTTTCTATATTGTGCTTGAAGTATATTACACATTCTCTTGGCTTGCACCTCTTCTCCTTCTCAATGCCCATAATTCTCAAGTATGTCTTTTGATGAGTCGGTGTTCTTGCATTTTCTTTTCACAGGTCTTGAGTGTTTAATTAATAGTTCTTCAGTTTTCCTGTAATTACCATTCATCTTCAAGTTCTGAGATTCTGTCTTCTTTGTTCTATTCTGCTGATTGCCTTCTGTTTTATTTTGCAGTTCTTTTGTTCTTTTTTCTGTTTTCCATATCCTGCTGGTTTCCTCTTAATGTGTCTATTTCTGTCATGAGTTCATTTATCTGTTTATTCATCATTCTCTCTTCACTTTGTACAGTGCTTCTATGGTTTCCTTTATTTCTTCTTTTGCTTTTTCAAATTCTCTATTTTTGATGTCTTGGGAATTTCTTGAGTGTCTCCTGTACATTTGTGTTGACCCTATCCAGTATCATCTCTATAAAATTCTCATTGAGTACCTATAGTATGTCTTCTTTTAGATTATTCTTATGTGCTTCATTGGTTCTTTGGCATAGTTTATCTTCATTTTGTTGGAGTCTGGATCTGAGTATCTGTTTTCTTCATTCCCTCTTCCTGTACTAATTTTTGCTGTTGGGAAACTGGTTTCCCTGTTTTTCTGTCTTCCTGTCATTGCCCTTAGTTTTACTGTCCCTGTACTGCATGCAATTAAGTATTTTCTAGCTTGATAATATATTTAGAATGGAAGTGAGAGAAGCTGGAAAGTAAAGAAGTTAAAGAAAAAGGGAAAAAACAAATAAACAAACAGTAGGAAAAACAAAACAAAGAATCAAACAAAAACGTTTCAGAATATAAACAGGACGTTTGTGTACTAATCGATAGTAAGCTGAACAGGCATTAGAGAGACAGAGAGAGGATTGAGAATCAAAAATAAAGAATAATGATAAGAATAAAAATAACAAGTAAGTAAATGAAACATATATTATATACATTATATATAATATAAATAAAAACAAAATGAAAAATAGAAAGTAAAAAAAAACCTCCAAGTTCAAATGCAATGAAGTTTCAGTCTTAATAATTTTGGTGTCCATCTCAGTCTCCAATCCTGGAGATGGTGCCTTAGATGTTGTTCTGTAGTTGTCTCATCAAAGGGACACATAAAGTAGAACAACACTGCACAAAAAAAAGCCCACAAAGTGTCCCAAGTTCAAATGCAATACAGTTTCAGTAAGTTTTTCAGCTTGCAGGTGTAGTTCAGTTTTTCTCATCAAAGGTAGCGAGAGAAAAAAAAGAGTCTGCAGACAGGTCTGTGAATGGTATCTGCGGCTGGGCTTGCCTGCCCACTGATGTCAGCCTGCTGTTGCTGCAGGCATTACTTATGCAATCTCTCTGGGGTGAGCTTAGCAATCACCTGGCCCCACAGGCTTTGTTTACTCAGAGCTCTCCTGTGCATGAGCCACTGCTACAAGCTTTCCCCTTTCCAAGCACAGGCTTTCTCTGGCCTGTGTTTGTTTACAGCTCACATGGGAAGTGCATCTTCCCTCCTCTCCTGTGGAGTTTTCCTCCCTCCACCATTCTCACAAACTTTCCTGCTCCTGGTTGCTGGGCGCATACCCCCGCTCCCACCAGAGCTCTCAGGCCAGGCCTGGCTTGTTTATTTACAGCTCCAGGAAGGATTCCCCTCACCCCCTCTTCAGTGCTCAGTATGCCCACTCTCTTTGCAACGTGTCTTTATTGTTCTTATTGCTTATTACTCAGTTTCTCTTTTTTCCCCAGGTGGAGGTCGGTCTGTCCAGGGGTCTATGCTGTTCTGGCCAGGGTTGTCTGTTTGAGTACCACTTACCACTTAGCTCATCTTGTCCACTTCTCCCAAGCCATCTGGGCACGGGCAACTGGTTAGCCTGGGGGCCCTCCTGGTTTCTCCATTTAACGAAGTAGAGATTCTGTGCTGCTGGAGGTGTGAGGGGTCAAAGTTTTGCCTCTTCTTGGTGGTTTTGCCTGCAAGGTGTGTCTCCAGCGTCTCTCCAAGATTTTACTATAAGAGGAACGCTTTCTGCTTTCTTCCTCTAGCTGCCATTTTGGAATTCCTCAGTTAAGTTCATCTTGAAGTTTAATCTTGCTTTTCTGTGAGTCTTTATGCATTCCCAGATTCAAGGAACAGAGAGCATTTTGTGAATAATAAATTATCTTTAAAGAATAGGGACAAATTAAAGGCATAAGCTTTACCAACAACCACACATATCAAAACAATGAAAAAGAAGTATGAAACCAGAGGAAGAACATATTATCCCATATGTTATTGATATAAAACAGATAACTAATCATGATGAGACAAATAAAAATTTTAGAACAAGTACAAAACTATTTATATGTATAAATATATATATGTTTATTTATTTATATATAAATATGTATAGATATCTCAAATTACCTATCTGTCTCTCTGTATATATACAAGAAGGTAACATTGGTGTCTACTTGGGGGAAGTTTACAATAAAAGTAAAATAAAATAATGGGCAATAATATTAAATTTATAAAAAATAAAAATGTTAAAATATCTATATTTTTGTGAGACTGGCATTAAATAGTAAGTTTAGATTTACCAAATTATTTGTTCATGAAGAAAGGTGAAGGGTAAACTCAAATGTAATTTATGAGGTTATGATGGGTGATAAGTGGAGTAGGGGTGGTATGCTAATTAATGTGACTCATGTCTTTCAACACAATGGACAGTTTAGAGACAGACCTCTTCCAGATAAACATGCTATTTTTTAGCACAAGGCAAAAATCAGTGGGATGCAATGCATAAGCCAGTGCATTTCGATTTCAAAGCAAACCATTGGAAAGCTTATAAGAAAAGTCCAAGGAACAAAGGTCTGCTCTCAGTCCTAGAAGAAAAACAATATAACTGACAGTTTTAATTTCTGAGGATCACTACTGCTCCATGTGTCGGTGGGGCTCCAGAACTGAGAACAAAGAATTTCTATTATAGAGTCCACCCTCCTTTGTAACACACTGTTACAGCAGCAAGCTGTAAAAGAGGCCATAATTCTCTTTTTTAGCTCTGGCAATTACAATTAACAAAAACCATTCCTGCAATTACAAAAACTTCAAGAAATGTTATAAATTTGGTAATCTCTTATAATATGTAAATGTACTTAATATATACTTTAATCATCTTTTTAATTGTTGTGCTGGGTGGGCAATACATTGTAAGGCACTTACAGAAGTTCTTATAATGAATCAAATTTATCATAATGAATTCCCTTTTGCCACCATTTCCTTCATCATTTGTCCATACAAATAATAATAATAATAACTTCTTGACTGTAATATAATTTCTTGTGTAATTAAATTGAGATAATCTATTCCTCACAATCTCTTCAACATGTTCTATATTCACAGATTCATGGACACATCAACAAGGGCGTTAAGGTAAGATTAATTTAAGTCTGTTTATTTCTGTTTTTTGGCATGATGTGGGTTTTGAATATAGGCGCCATGCACTTCTTAGGCAAGCACCTATCTCTTGAGACAGCTATCCGTCTTTTATTTAATTTATTTTGGACATTGGAAAGATGTTAATATCCATGAATCCTCTTTAAATTTCCATATTTTCTGATTTGTAAATTTTAACCAACTATATTTTCCTTAAGTTTAATTCAAATATTGGCACTTGGATATTTATAAATATTTGAATATTTGAAGAAATTAAAATAGATATATATGAAATTTTAGTTTTAGCAGTTTTTATATTAATGAAAAATGTAGATAATATAGCCAAGCCCACAATCATAATTGCTATAGTGTAAAGTAAATAATACTCAGGTTGCATTTCAGTTTCAAAATAAATCCTTTAAAACTTACAAATTGTTACATATCCTTAAAAGAAAATTTTCTAAAAGTTTCATATTTCTAAATCATTATAGTGTGACAGAAGTCCCCCAATAGTATCATTATATAAAAATATAAAATAAATCACCAAATATAAAGTAAAAATTACTTGCCTGATACCAGTAGTCATCCTTGTATCTTAGCTACTTGTAAGACTCGATTAGGAAAGATGTACGTTTTGAAGGCACTCTTGGCAAATAGTTAGCAAACCCATCTCTAAATAGCCAGACCAAAAAAAAAAATGAACTGAATGTGTGGCTCAAGCAGTAGAGTATCTGCTTTGGTAGCATGAAACCCTGACGTTCAAACTTTGGTCCCCATCCTCTTGTTACTATTGTGCTATAAACACATTCCATATGAAAAGGATATAACAAATTAATTTAGTATGCAAATACAAAATGAAATTGATTTTTTGACTACATGTGTTAATACCTTAATAATGATTTTCAGAATACAGATAATATTTAAAATAAAAATTTATTGAAAGAAAATCAATAAATATATCCTTCCTCATAGTTTTTATGTTAAATCAACAGTTCCGTTTTTAATAAGAAGATTATTAGAGTTCCCATATCTTCATAATTTTCTAAATCAAAGTAGGAAAAGCAACACTTCATTATGTATCAGGAGATTTCAAAATGAACACAAAATTCATTTCCAAAAGAAGAATTAATTTCATAGGAGAGTAAGATGAATATCTGTTTCTCTTCTAAGCCATAATATATTATATAAGTAGAAAAACTAACAGGAAACATATCTCTTTTGGAAGAAACATCTGGCACCTTCTTGTGTTGGTAATGACTATATGATAGCTAGTTATCAGTGGGTGCCATACAAAAGTTTGTGAAATTTTTGAACATAATTTTGGAGTTTCCTGGTTTCTGTTTGATTAGTTATCCAGCACAGACATGAACAAATTTTAACTGTCTGAAAAACTGCCTTTAAAACACTGCTTTTTTTCTGCAAATAAATGTAACTCCCTGTCTTGGATTCATCCATAGTTCTGAAGTGGACAGGACTTTTACATTTACTATTTAATAATGTAACTTGCAAAAGGGAAAAATGAATTAGAAGGAAGGAACTTTTGCTTAAAGTACTTGATTCTAAACCAATCCAACCTAAAATGGTTTCTAGAAATTATATAGATAAAATATCAATCAATAATATACTGTAGATTTTCTCATTATTTTCCAAATTGAACTGTGATAGCTCTTAGAATATCACTAGTGAAAACATGATAAAAATTAAAAATACCCAAGAAAGTCACTAAGATTCCATAACTAGATGACATAGAATCAGAGAAAAAATTTGAAAATTCTGGTTTCAGCAATAGAAGTAATTCCTCTGACTTCCTCAGAGAATACAAATTGTTACTGCTAAGATTCTAATACATAAAACGAATAATAGAATGAATTTATTTTTGAAATAGGACTAGAACATTTACTAGAAAATGACAAACTAAATGAGGAATATAAATCAATTTAATCAAAAATTTATGTGGGTGATAAACTAAGCAATAACTATATAATTTTTCTTTATTATTTCTGCAAACGAAATAAAATGTATAATAACATAGTTACATTGTTTACAAACAGATGTCCTACACAACCATTTTACTTAAAAACTAAATGTTGCAGCAGTTTTGAAGTACAATCTTTTAAAGAGTAAATACATTACTTTATTGGGAAAAAACAATTTCCAGAAAGAAAAGTTCTTACCTCAAGATTCCTCAAATAATTAATTATTTTCATAGACTTATTTCTCCAGAAAATTTAACAGCATCCTATGCACGTTTCAGGTAAGATAGAGCACAAAGATGAATTTAACCTATTTTTTCTAATTTCTAATTTTAAAAAATGTATAGGTAATTGATAAGTGAAAAACTGCAATTTCAGGTAGTCACACAAAGATGAATTTACCTTATATTTTCTAATTTATTATTGTTTTTAAAAATTAATAGGTAATTGCAAGTGAAAAGTGTGCATATTTCTGGTATACAAGGTGATGTTTTGAAATTCTGTACATTAAGACTAACATAAATTTAGGCTAAATAACATTAAACATTATCTTCACATCCAGCTTTTTTGGTGGAAATGGAATAAAGGGAAAGCACTTATAATTTTCAAATACACAATACATGTTAGTAACTGTGGTCACCATGTTTTAACAACAGATCTCTTTAACTTACTTATTTTCTCAAAATTGAAAATTGTGGTAATCCTTTGTCAAAATTCAGTTTCTGCCAATACAAACTTTATTAGGTGAGAAAAACTCATAAATGAGAGAATTCCAAACCCTTTGCAACTTTTTAACTTTTTCTAATGTGGTTTTTTTCTGTTTTTAGGATTTTTCTTTGTTTGTTGTTGTGCCTGCATGGAGGTACATGTGGCATTTACTTGTGTATTACATTATGTTAAATAAATCATACTTGTTCACCCATTCACTTTTTTTTTCCTTTATCACTCTCCCCTCATTCCTGGAAGCAGAGCTCAACAGGGATTATTTTTGCCATTAACTACTTGTGTACACAGTAATTTGTACTATATTACCCTCCCACGACCTTTCCCAATGTGCTCTGTCCCTCAATCCTCTCAGCAGAAATGAAGAAAGTTCTTCCTCCTGTTCTCATGATTTTGTAAAAGTAAAAAAATTGAAATTTTGATTTGTTCATTTAATATAGCTCCATAGGAAATTTTCCTTGTGACATTTCCATGTATATATGTATTGTAATCCCTATTGGTTCAATCTCCTCTATTTTCTTCACCTTTTCACTTTAATAATCAGTATGCTAAAAATCTCAAAATAAGCTTTTACTCATACCTTGAAACCTTTCCCCAACATACATATCTTTTACATACAACACATAGATCCTTCAGTTGGAGGGGTTCCTAGTGGGCAAAACAATTACCATGGATTTTAAATTACATTTTCATGTTTTTTAATATCCTCCTTATCATATTTTATTTACTGTGCTCTTCTAATGAAATGTGTATTTAATAATCATTTTCCGTATTTCCTTTAGATAGTTTTATCTAAACTACTAAGATTCCAGAACTGCAGATGTGCCTCAATGTGTAGCATCTGCTTTGCAAGTGCCAAGTTTTGAGTTCAGAGACTAGTCCTACAAAAGTAATAAAATATTATGATTCTATTTCTTTTTAATGTTTATGTTTTTAAAAAAAATACTATAAACCTGAGTAATACAGCTTAAATTCCAGTACTCATGCTTATGGAGCCTTTCATGGGATTTCATAGGATTTATAAGCATATTAATTCCATTTTTTGACATCTG